AAAATATAATTGAAAAAAATCTAAAATTATATATATATTCTAATTTAAAATTTCAGTCATTGAAATTATAAATAATAAATTTTGATAAGCAGATGAAAAATGTTTTCCGCTTTTTTTCTTTTGAAAGGGAAGGAATCATAAAAGATATGGAGATCTGGGAATCATCAGGGCAGTGGATGTTTTCTGTTTATTCACCAGTGAATAAAGAGAAGAAACCTAATATTTCAGGTAACTGAAAAATTGTGTTTTTAAAGTATGTTTTATAACTACTGTTTTATCAAACCAAGACCATGCCAAATAAAGAAATTAACCACAAATTTAGCTACAGTTAGGCAAGTTTGGACATTGTTTAAAGTATCCGAGTATTCTAGCAGAACTTCGTAATTCAGAGATTGAGGTTGGAAGGTCTAATTCTTTTAAGATATGTGGTTCTCATGAGAAAAGAGTGAAATCAGGACCCACCACAATTCCAATTCTATAGGCCTAGGAAGAGGCTCTGCTTTCTTGGTTCCCTGTAGGTACAACTTCAGAACCCCTTGACTGCCTACAGTGACTAGAAGAGTCACATCCTGCCTGCCATTCAGGCCTTGGCTGCCTGATTCTGTTTTCTCTTTCTTCCCTGTCTTTCCTTCTAAGAATAGTTGTTCTTCATAAAGCGTCTTGAGACCTATCCTGGAGCTAATATTTGACAGTAAGGAGCTTTAGCTGGGCTATAGGGATAGCATTTCTTTAGAATACCCCTTTCTTCTCCATTTTCTCTTGTCTATAGTCCCTAAGCCCTTTCTGGGCTGAACCCTAGACCACCGCACTTCTGTAAGCCCACTTCTGGGTGGTCCTGGGCCTCTGCCCTATTGAGTAAGCAGCAGGTACCTAGCAGATGAGAGCCCCTGCAGTCCCTCAGAACCCTGTGATCGCTACTGTGTGCAGCTCTACCTACTCGTGCTCTGTGAGCATTTGAGTCACGCCACGCTTTAGTTATTTACTCAGTCATTCAACAAATTCGTATTGAATTTGCCTATTCTAGGTGCTAGGGGTGTAGTGATGAGCCAGACAGACAAGATCCCTCCCTTGTGAAATCCTTGAGGGCGGGAGACAATAAGTCTTACAAATAAGAGATTTTCAGATAGTGATTTTTCTATAAAGAAAATAAAAAGAAGTATTAAACCTTTCTTAATCAGTTCAGAATTGAACCTAATGCCTAAAGCCCTAAAGCAGTGGTTCTCAAAATATGGAATGTAGATCCCTAAGTAGCGTTGCCAGATAAAATATGGGATACCCAGTTAAATTTAAACTTCAGATAAACAAAGAATAATATATTTTTTTAAAGATTTTATTGGGGAATTGGGGGGAGGGGAACAGCGTTGGGGAATCGGGGAATGGGAACAGACAGGTAGACAAATTGCTGTTTTTGTTCTTCAGTCTAGTTGTGGAGGATGTTGCTTCACTGGCCCATGTTGGTAATATCATTGTGCTCTTCCCGGGTGAGGCAATCGGTTGCCGGTCATTGGTCAGCTGCTCACTGCGGCTCTTGGCCGCTCACGCTGGCTGCCAGCCACTCACGTAGCTCACGGCAGCCCACTGCAGCCCCACTGCAGCCCACGCCATCACCAGCGACTCAAGGCAGCCCAGCTCCAGGTCGAGCTGTTGTTCATCATCTTAGCTGTAGAGGGCAAGCGTCACTGGCCCTTAATGTGGGATCTGAACCGCAGCCTTGCTGCTCAGAGCTGGCACTCCCAAGCGAGCTCTTAACCAGCTGAGCCACTCGGCCGGCCCAAGAATAATATTTTTAGCATATGAATATCCCATGTAATATTTGGGACATACTTATACTGAAAACATATTTGTTGTATGTCTGAAATCAAATTTAACTGGGCATCCTGTATTATCATTTGCTGAATTTGGCAACACTGTTCCTGAGACCCTTGTAGGAGCCATACAAGTTCAAAAATATTTTTGTGATAATGCTAACACATTAATTGGCATTTTCACTGTGCTGACATTTGCACTGTTGGTGCAAAAGCATTGATGAGTAAAACTCCTTATATCTTAGTATGAGTTAAAACAGACAACAAACTGTACTAGCAGACTACAGTAGTCAATTTTTAAAAATTAATGCCATTTTTACTTCAGAGTATCCGTGATGAAATGGTAAAAGTTATTAATTTTATTAAATTTTGACCCTTGAGTGCAAACCTTTTTAATATTCTGTCTGACAAAATAGGACACACACACAAAGTGCTTCAGCCACATACTCAAGTATGATGGTTATCTTGAGGGAAAGCACTACTCTGATTGTTTGACTTGTAAGCTGAACTAGCCACTTTTTTTTAAATTTTATTTTATTGGAAAACAGCCATAGTCATTTGTTACACATCGCTTTCATGCTGCAATGGCATAGTTGACTCTTTTAAGGAGTGGACCATGCGGGGATTGAACCGGCAGCCTTGGTGTTATCAGCATGACGCTCTAACCAACTGAGCTAACCGGTCAGCCACTTTTTTTTCATGGACAATTTTTAATTGAAAGACTGACTGAGAACTATGGTTATTTAAACTTAAGTATTTGGTGACATTTTCTTTACAAAATAAATGAAGTGAGCTTGTGACTTCAAAGAAAACAATTGACAGTGTTTATTGCCAATGACAAAATTTAAGTTTTCAAGTGAAAATCAGAATCATGGAAAACTGTTTTCTGCCACTGTGAGGTTGATGACTTCTTACTAAAAGACTCTTCTGATGAGATGGCTAGTGACATGAACAAATATGAATTTTTTGATATTGTAAAATGATGTGCCAGCATTTGGAAGTTTTGGATAACTCAGTGAACTAGTATTGAATCTATGATGTTACAAAATTATACATGGCTGAAAAATCCTTTCTCAGTGCAAGATAAGCCAGTGGATTTAATATAATTGTACAAAAAGTTCATTAATATGATTTGAATCTACATTATAGCTAACCTTTAAGAAACTACCACCTGTCAAGTTTTGGTGTAATATCAAAGAAGAATATTCACAATTATCTGAAAAGGCCATTAAAGGCATCCTTTTCCAATTACATACCTGTGTAGGAACAGGTTTTCTTCATACACTGCAGCTAGGCAATATATTGCAACAGATTGAATGCAGAAGCAGATGTAATAATCCAGCATTTCTATTAAACCAAACCGTAAAGAGATATACAAACATAAAACAGTGCCACTCACTTCACTAAATTTTGATTTTTTTGTTTTGGAAAACAGTTTTTTTCATTTATGTTGATAGGGAATTGGCTTTTTATTTTTAAATAAAATTAAATATTTCCTACATTTCTCAGTTTTCATTTCAAATATGGCAAATATTGGCATATGTAAGCCATGTAAGCAAAAGCTCTTTGGGGTCCTTAATGATTTTTAAGAATGTAAATGGGTCCTGAGACCAACTAAGTCAGAGAACCTCTGCCCTTAGGCATCCGTTATGATGAATTAACTTTTCCTATGCAGCTAGAATAAATAGGACTTTTGTACCACCCTTGAGAGGATTGGAACATAGTCAACTAGATCATTTCTGTGTTCTGCGGTTCAGATGAGGAACAGCTGGAAGGGGGAGAAAGTAACTAGAGGGACAGCGTTCCTTTAGATGGAGTGGCTGTCCATTCTTAGGAGCTGAGGCCTGAATGAAGAGGTGTCACTCACGGGGGGATTTGGGGAAAATGTTCCTGCCAATTGGAATAGCTAGTGTGAAGGTGCTCATGGGAACAAGTTTGGCATGTTTGAGGATGAGTAAAGACTGAATCGCTGAAGGGGAGAGTAAATAAGGGAAAGAATAACGTGACATAAGGCCAGAGAGTCAGCCAGGGACCACAGCATGCTGGGCCCAGTTGTGCTGGGCAGCTGTGAAGAGCTTTCAGCAGGAGGGAAATGATCTGATTAGATAAAGCTCACTCAGACTTTGTATGAAAAGAAATGGTCTATTGGGTGCAGGAGTAGGGGCAACATAGAGGCAGGGAGATGAGTTAGGAGACAAATTACTGATGATTGGGTTAGAGTTACTAGCAGTAGAGACAGAATTGGTTGAATTTGGGTTTTGGTTTGGAGCTAGAATGAGAAGGATGCTGGTTAATTAGATATGGAGAAAGAGAAACACAAGGTAATTCCTAGGTTTTTTTGCCTGAAAAAGATCAAATGTTCAGGCCCAAAACCTAGGAATTATCAAGTTCTTAGAGGGAATCCAGTGTGCTGATTTGAATGCTTAGTCTTTTCTTTAATCTTGGGGTAGGGCTTCTTGGAATTAATATCTGGGTTACAAGTAATTCTCTGGAGAAAATATCCTGAACATTTTTTTTCCTGTCTTAAAAAGTTTTCCTACTTATAAAAGTTACACCTATTGCCATAGAAAACTGAAAAATACAGGAATGTATAAATAAAAGAAAGATCACATCATCTCCCAGAGATAACAACTGTAACATTTTAGTATATTTCTTTCAAAATATGCACACACAAACTTATTTCTTGCTTATATTGGGTCATTGGGAAAGTCATGATGCATTTTTGCATTGAAAAACATAGAAAAATTCGTCGTGACTTTCCCGACGACCCAATATATTTAATTAGGATCATAATCTAGTTTTGTATTCGACTTTGTTGTTTTCAGTTTGTCTCCATTACTAAAAATAATAGAATGAACATCTTTATACATTAACCCCCTTTGTTTACACATCTAATTATTTCCTGAGGTTTATTCCTAGAGATTTTATTAAGGTCAGAAAGTGTGAACATTTCTAAGGCATTTGAAGCTTATTGACAATTTTCCTCCCAAAAAAGTACCTTTTTAATTCCCTTAATGGCGATTCAGGAGAATGTCCACTTCACCACATCCTTAGGAACAATAAAAAGCATTCATTTTTAATTTTTGCTAGTCCGATAAGTAAAGCATTTTATCTCTAAGTTATATTTTTAAATTGACCTTTTTTGTTTTGTTTATTTACTGGCTATTTGAATTTTTTCATGAATTGCCTGTTTATTATCTGGCTCATATTAACTTATTTTTCTTATTGATTTGTAAGAGCTGTTTATAGGTTGGCATTAGCTCTTCTCTTGTCATGTTGCAATTATGGTTTTCCCAGCTTATCATTTGCCTTTTAATTTTGCTTTCTGTAGTTTCTGACATACAGAATATTTTTTGACACAGAAGTTTGAATATATACATAGTCAACTTTCCTTTTCTTCTCTTTGTTATTTCTCCCACTCCATTTATCTTTAGAAAATTTTCCCCCTTTAAAGATCACATAACCAACTATATTTTACTGTGATTTAATACTTTGCTAAACATTAAAGAGAGTGCACACTTTGAATTTTTTTCCTTATAATTATGAAAATTGTCTAATGATCACAACGTTAGCATATGTTCTTGTTTAGCACCTGTAGATTTACTATGCTATCAAAAGTATTGGCATTTATTTTAAAGATTCCAATTGATTCCTCACTTCAGGTTTCACAGACATTTCACCAGAGGAGTTGAGGCTTGAATACCATAACTTCTTAACAAGCAATAACTTACAGAGTTATGTAAGTTTATCTCCTATTCATCTACCTCAATAACAGATTAGCTGTTAATTACTGTCTTCTCTGTTCGTAGTGGCTTCTTCTGTTGGCAAAGTGGGTAAGGTCTGCAGTATTTTTCAGGACAAGGCTATTTTTATTTTCTAACTTACTTTCTTTGAAATTGGTTGGTTATCTCTTAGTAGGTGCAGACATGGTGGTGAATGCTAGAAACCAGTTAAATAAAGCAGCCTGTTATACAGATTAACATTCTCACCATCAAATATGAAAAAGTAAAAACAGCTGGGCTTCAATAAGTTGGGCGCCTAAAGGAAATCACATAAACTGTATTTTTCTGTTGTCTGCAGCCATGATCATGCATTCTAACCAGCACACATGTTCTCCTCCCATCCAAATAGTAGTGCGTACTGCCAGGTGCTTGCGCTTCTTAACTAGGTGGTACAGGAGTTGGAGAGCAGGGAGAGGGGCTACAGCTGGCATACCTTTGGCAAATAGGGCCAGATCAATGCAAATTTACAAGTTGTGGCCCATAAAAAGGTTTTATAAGCTTTTTGTGATTTTTGCAAAGATGTGAAGTAGTTAGAGAGATAAACACTCAGTATTGACTCATTACTTTTCTATCTTCTCTCTTCAGCTAAATTCCATCCAACAGTTAATAAGTCAGTGGAGGAACAGGGTAAATGAACTGAAAAGTCTAAATGCATCAACTCAGATAGCGTTGGTGAGTATTGAATAGTTTGCTACAGGGAAGTGTCTTCACTATTGCTTTTTTTGCAGAGAAAATTACTTTTGATTTGAAAAACAGCTAAAATTTTCTTTCAAGAATTATAATACACACCTTCTCAAGAACTATGGCATCATTTAGAGGCAAGGTGCTGGAATTCCTTTCTCTCTATTCCTCAGTCAGAAAAACACAGATAATAATGCTTTTTTAAAGCTATTTTTAGGGCAAAGTTTTAAACTTTGGTAGTACTAATTTTGAAAATTGGAAAATACTACATACATTCAAGTATTCCTGGTTATGAGTGTTAAAAAGAAATTGCTTTGAAAAATGATACAAATGCACATTTAGACTAATGTGTACTTTTGTGCTTGAAGGATACTCACCACATGTTTCTTGTCTTATACAGAAATGCCTTTAGGAGATACGTAGCCACTTGTCTCCAAAGATACGTGATCCTGACTGTAGTATATTCATTATCTCCATCAATAAAGTTATAATTTTAATACCCCCCATAAAAAGTTCTTAGGAACTTTATTTTAAAATAAGGTATTTACATTTAGAATTTAATATTTCTAATTTTCTAGGCAGTTTACTTTCTTTTTTTAAAAAAGATTTTATTGGGGAACTGGGGGAGGGGAACAACCCCGGGGAATCGAGGGAAGGGGAACAGACAAGTTGCTGTCGTTTTGTTCTTCAGTCTAGTTGTGGAGGACGTTGCTTCCCTGGCCCAAGTTGGCACCATCATTGCGCTCTTCCCGGGCGAGGCAGATCAGTCGGCGGCTTCTGGATGGCTGCTCACGCTGGCTGCTGGCTACATACGGTAGCCCATGGCAACCCACTGCCACAGGGGCTGCAGCCTACGCTGTCGCCAGCGACTCACAGCAGCCCAGCGCCAGGTTGAGCTGTTGTTCAGCATCCTAGCTGTAGAGGGCAGTGTCACTGGCCCTCGTATGTGGGATCCGAACCGGGGCCCTCTGGTGACCTGAGCCAACTCTTAACCATCGCGCCACTCGACTGGCCCGGCAGTTTACTTTCTGGAAAAGGTTATGAAAGTAGTTGCTGCCTAAACTTGGGAATGACTGCATGGTAGTCCCAACTGCCCGCTCCTTTCTTAATTATGTGCTTCCTAAATAACTAGACTCCTGTACAAGCTAATTTTTTCCACCTTTCAGTTGTTATAATGCCATTTGAGTTTAGTAGGACTTCTGGGAAGTATTCCACCCCTGAGTGAGAGGTGGCCCATCACCATTGCCGAGAGCTGATACAGAAGGCATAGTGAGTCTAGAGAACTGCAGACCCTCCCTCAGGGCTGGAGTTCCCTGCTCTTTGCCAGCTTCCTAAGGGCCCCTCTCTAGGTGAGCATCCTGGAGAGCCCACCTACAGCTGCTTAGGCGTATCAGTAGTTCACTCTTAGGCCCAGCAATTCAGTCTCTATTCTTTTCATCCATTGTGTAACTATAATACAAGTTGTTTATCCATTTACATATTATTAAGGAATATTACACTGAGGGAGAGAAGCTAGACTGAAAAAAGAGTACATACTAATGAATCCATTTATATAAAACTCTAGAAAAGACAAACCTCATCCATAGTGCTAGAAAGCAGATGAGCGGTGGTACCCTGGGGCCAGAGTTTGGGAGAGGGATGACTGGAAAAGGAGCACAGGGGAACTTTTAGGGGCGGCAGAAATGTTCTAAATCTCGATAGTGGTGGTGGTTATAAGTTTGCCAAATTTCACTGAAATGTGTTTGTGTGTGTGTGTGTATAGTATGTAAAATGGATGCGTTTTGTTGCATGTAAACTATATCTCATAAAGCTGATTTTTAAAATAAGCTGTTGGGGCTTCCGAACGAGAGAAATCATACCTGCTTGGGTTGATTAGGAAAGCAAGGCTTCTTGGAGGTAGAGAGTAAGTGAGAAGTTCCTTGAAAGGGAGATTAAGATTCTAATAAGAAGAGACAAAAGACATTTCTAGACCAGGAAATAGCAAGAGCTAATGAAGTATTTGCAGGGAATAGGAAATACTTGAATAGATTTTAGTGGTAAGCTTTTAGTAATGTAATTGTGAATCAACTTCAGTCCAAGCATTGGAGTAAGTAGACTGGGTAGCCTCTAAAGGTCCCTTACCGAATATCTAGGTTTCTTGATAAATGCAAATTAGCCTATAGACACTGAAATGTATTATTAAACAGATTTTTCTGATTTTAATATGTATTCATTGAAGAAATTTAGAAAATACTTAAAAGCATAAATAAAATTAAAATCACGCATAATTCATCAGCCAATTACTCTTAACTCATTGAGGTTGGTCCATTTTTTTGTATGCATATTCACATTGTGGGCATTTTTCTATGTTAAACATTTAACTTCACATTTTTAAGTGTACATTTAAAAAATTGAATTTGGCTCTAAAGTATATAGAAAATGTACTTGAGAATTATTCATCAAGTATTTTGTTATTTGCCTTTTTTTTTATAGCTCTCTGAAGTAAAGGATGGATTAAATCAAGCAGCACCTGCACTTGGACTTGCTAGTAAACACACAGTAACATTTGGGTCCCCAGGTAAGTGATAAAGTAATACAGGACTTCACTGATTTAGAAAAAGGATTATATAGATTTCAAATCATAAAGCTTGAAGGTATGTTAAGTACCATTTTAAATCACCCTTGCAAATTCTACCACCTTCCGTAATGGAGTGTCTAAGAATTTGGCTCATGAGGCATTTGTGCAGTGGGGGCCAGAATGGGCACGTTCTTTGGAAGACCCTATGGCTCAGGCTTTAGAAGTATATTTCAGGAAAGGTTTTTCAAGAGTTTCATAGCTATGGTGGCAGCACCTTGGAGGACTGTCTTGTCACTGTGTATAACAGCATAGCATTATACTCAAGTGACAGCTCCGGTGTGACAAGCTGAAAGTGAAAGTCCACTCCCTCATCCCTGAGGTTTCTCAAAGCTGCCTCCTGAGTGAAGGTAGATCGTGGTGCTCGTGGTGCTCATGAGAGCAGTGCCGCAGAAAGACAGGACAGCCGGGTTTAGTGGGTCTGTTGTCGCTTCTCAGTTTTACCTTTCCCTTCTCCCTTCCAATGAGCTGCTCAGCATCCAAACATAGCAAAGACAAGGGGAAACTGGGAGTGCTGGGGGGGCTTAATATGGCTACATTTTCTGACTATAAGTTGTTGTTTTTTTCTGTAGGCTTTCCAGTGAATAACAGCAACAGTGATAATGCTCAGAATTTTAGTTTTAAAATAGCCTCTGGATTTGCCACTGCTCCTTCCGGAAGCACTCCTGTGTTTGGGAATGTTCCAGCCTTTGGAGCCGCACCCTCTGCCAGTTCAGCCATTACTACATCTACTCCAACTCTTGGATTTGGAAAACCGGAAGTCACATCTGCTGCTTCCTTTTCATTTAAAACCCCTGCAGCTTCTGGGTTTGGATCTCCCGGGGTTTCAGGCTTCCCGGTTTCCACGGCAGCAGGCCCCGCTGGCGCTCCAGGGGCCCAGGCCTTTGGACACGGCAGCTCTGTGGCTGGTTTTGGTGGTCCAGGCTCCCACTCTCACACGCCTTTTTCCCAGTCATCCAGCGATCCCTTTGGAAATAACAGCATATCCACCTCTCTCCCTGCCTCAAACAGCAGCACAACAGATGATGTATTATTCACACCCAAGGATCAGCTAACAGCGGGAGAACTGGAGCAATTTCAATCCAAGAAATTTACTCTGGGAAAAATCCCACTGAAGCCACCGCCTGTGGAACTTCTAAATATTTAAAAGGACAATTTTAAATACAGAAAAAAACGACTTATAAAATTGTTTTGAGTGGTTCATATAAAAGAACATATATACACACAAGCATATATGTATGTATACACATATATGTATATTTATAAGGAACATAGCTTCCAATAATAACTTTAGGGGTTTGAAATTTAATGTTTTCTTGGGCCTAACTATTTAAGTAAAATATAATACTCAACAAGAGATTTGTTTTTTTTTTACTATAGTCATGAATGGAACTGAAAAACTTGTCAGTTTGTGCTGAATAAAGTACTTTTCTCATTCTACATCACTTTGCTATACCCTTTAAAATTTTACTTTTAAACATTTTTTTTTTTTTTAGGAAGGAGATAATTTTTAAAACCATTAGGGGGAAAACGTTTAAATATTTAGCCTACTTGCTGAATAATCAGTCGCATAACTTTCCTCCATGTTAAAGAAGATCCCCTTAAAGAGAAAAATAACAGTTTACAAGGGGAGAAAACTTTGCTTTTTAAGGTCTAGGAGGCACTTTTCCCTCATAGTTTTGTTCCCCCTTCAATTTTGTCTGTCTCATGGACCACCATTTCGGTTTTCTTCAACAGCTTTTATGGTCATTTTTATCTGAGCCTAATTTTTACATAATTCTACTTATTCCTTACATTATCCCATCAAGTGGTTGGATAATAAAGGGAATAGAAATTGGGATCTCATGTGAATGAATACTTGTACATAGGGGGTCAAGATTCACCAGCTCTGTTTGTAGAGCTTTTCTTGGAATTCTCAGACATGCTTGGATCTCCCTGTGTCCTCAGATTGAGGGGTAATGTCTTCCATATCTTATAATTGGTTGATCCAAGAAACCAAAGACCTGCCTTGAGTTGAAGCGTATGTGTCATAGCTTCTGTGCCCCTTTCTCAGGCTTCAAAAATTACACAGCTAGCACTGCGAGAACAGTTACCTACCATAGATCTAGTATTGAGCTGATTCTTTTTTTTCCCCCATAATTAAAACTTTATTGAAAAACTGACACCAAAATAGAAGAGAGCACTGTTGTGTACTTACAATTAAATGTAATTACATTATCTTGGTAGATTAACTAGAATTACTGAACTGATAAGGCTTTCTGTGATATAAGAAATTCAGGAAGTTGTGTGGATCATTAGTGTTGCTTTCTTCTAAATGAACACCCTTCTGTGAGTCTGGCCTTTCCTCCTATTGGCTGGCACAACACTGTTGAACAACCTACACAAAGAACCATGGTCTGAGCATGGCTGAAAACCGTGGTAATCCTGTAGCAACCTGGACATTTCACATCCATAAAATAAGAATTTGGACTGTGAACTAGCCGTTTCTTTTTATGTTTTTTCTTTTCCTCTTCCAAGGACGGATGTAGTAAATCTCTAGCCAAAGGCATGTTGATGTTTTTGCACGCCCAGCCCGAACAGATCTCTGAAGCAACACCCCAGACTAGAAGCATGCGACTTGGCGCGGCTGAGCTGATTCTTTTAAGTGAAAATAAAACCTTACCTAAAAAAAAATAGGCTCTCCAAATGATTTGAGCATATACACAAAGGATTCAGTCCTCAGAGGCTACCGATTTTCCATTACACTTTGAAGAACTGTATGGCTCCCACCGACAGCCTGGGACACCAGCATTTGGGATAGAATCTTTCTCTGGGGGGTGGATGTTTGACGCCAGCCTTGGTGTAGGGATCGTAAGCCAACCCGAAGTTCCTGCTTTGGTCTCAAGCTCTAAAGACTTTCCGATGTTTATTCCAACCTGCAGTTGAAGCCTAGAATTTTCCTACTCTGATGGAATGAACCATATGCTACCATAGGCTGGTTGCAGGCTTACTAGGCTCCCTCGGGTCCCAGTTGAACTTCCTAGTGTCCTGGAAGCTCTGAGGAATGCAGGTCAGGGCCCGGTGTTTCTAAACTTGCCTGATTATAAGAATCACGTGGCACTTGCTAATATATCCATTGCACTAGGCCTGGGAATGTGTTCTCTTACCAAGTGGTCCATGGCATTCCTCAGGCAAGTTTGGGAAACGAGCCTGTACAGGACACTTAGGCTACTTAGTAATATGCGATTTGGGAGTTCTGTTTACTTAATTATTGAAGCCTGTTTTCTGTACACATACACACACACACACGCACACAATGTGGCGAGCTTAATAAGATCCAAAGTTATCCAACAGTGCAGTTGTCAAAAAGCACAAAGAAGTGCTATGGGTTACTTAAAAGTGTGAGAAACTTAAGCGAAGAAGTCCAAGTAGAAGCCAGCAGTGTGTGTGCACACAGGTATTGGGTCCGAGAAGGCCAGGAACTCCTAATCGTAGGCTAAGGGGCAGCAGGGCTTCAGCAAATC